GTATATATATATATATATATGAAGTATTAATCTAACTTTTAAGAGCTTTATTAACCTAATAATTTCGCTTAAAACTAAAGTGACTTGAGAGGGAGATGATCTTTGGGTCGGATAACATTCACAGGGACTTTATTGTATAATTAACATCATCATTTAATCTATCTTAAAGTTTGTGTTTTTTCGAATTAAAGAAAAAGAAATTTTTATAATTTGTTTGTTTATAAAGTTAATGTTTATATATTAGATAATTTATTATAATTTTTAATTATTTATTTGATAAATAAAATTTTGGGGACATACATACATACCACATACTTCTTATGTATTTGCATATTTACTTTTATATTTTGATATTTGCATGTGATATGTGCTAGAAATCTCACGGCAGTAGAGTAACAGTTTATCGTTCTAGTGTGGTACGAAGATTCAACACACGCACACACAGAAGTGAGAAAACAATTAATAATGACACAAGAAGTTTTTACGTAGAAAACCTGAAAAGGAAAAAACAATTGGGTCTCGCCGAACTGAAAAATTCTACTATAAAAAGATGAATATAGATGCAACCACTTGTCCCACAGGAGGAAAGAATTACTAGGTTTTCCAAGTTACAACATCGACGTGTTAATAAATTTGTTGATAGGAACAAGTGGCAATAGATAGTAATTGGTGACGTTGTGTCCGGTCGATCGTCGTTGATTTTGGTTGGCGAAATCGACAACGGTCAGCTGTGATCGACGAAGATTGACGGTGATCGATGACGGTTGACGATGGTTGACGTAGACCAGTGGTGGTTGACAACGGTCAACTATGGTTGACGACGATCGGCGAAAGTCGATAACAGTCGACTGATCGACAATGGGCGACGGCGGTCAGCGGTGGTCGACGGCAGTTAGCGGTGGTGGTGCTGGATTTCAGCTCTTTCTCAAAGCTTCAAGCTCTTCCTCATATCTCAAGCTCTCCTCCCCCTCATGAGAGTGGTGGGGCTCTATTTATAGTATTTTTGGTGCAATTAAAACAGGAATAAGAATCACTTTGATCAGATGGTCTGGAGAGCTTCCTTCAATTAAACGACATGTGATGGACATTTGAATGTATTAACGTGTCAGAATTGAGCGATATTGGGCTAACTTGATTCGTTTTGTCGAGAAGCTTGATTCAAATATAGACTTGCTAGATTCGACATTATTTTGACCTTTCAAATATTTTTAAAAAAACTTTTATGAGTGATTTAATGACTTGATCTGAGCTTGATTTGACTCTGATTGGACTAATTTTGATATCATTGGATCTGTCTCATTGAGCCGGAATGACTTTTTATCAAGGTTTGATTATTTATGCCTTAAGATTCGTGATAAAAGATGAAAATATGTTGAAATCGTATCAACATGCATAACATTTAAATATTTAAGATCACAAAAAATATCATCATACTAATACATCTTTCCATACATAAATTTGATAAGATTATAAACATAAAAATGTTACAAAATATAAATATCAAATTTCAAGTGTTAGAGATGTAAATAGTTAAGAATTTTATGGTATGTAAATAAATTTTCCCTAAGATTGTAGCGGCCGCCATCAGGAAGCGGCCGGCGGTGATGAGTACCACCAGATATTTAAAATTCAAACGGTCTTCTCATCATTCCTCACCCTTTCTTCTTCCTTCAAGATTTTTCTCGCTGTCTTACCTTCAAAGCTCCGCCTCAATCCACAAAGATGCTCTCATACTGCCTCCCCGCTGCTCTGTTGAAGACTCTCTCGATTACTTCATCTCTGCGCTCAAGACCTCCTCGAGAGCCATGCCAATTCTTTCAGAAGTATCGTCTCTTCATTCCAGAGCAATGAAGGCCGGCTTCGCCGAAAATGGACAGGTTAGCACTGGTCTTCTCAATCTCTATGCAAAATGTTGTTCATTGGATCATGCATGTAAGCTGTTTGATCAAATGCCTCAACCGAATGTTCTCAATTGGACGATTCTTCTTACAGCCTGCGTTCGAAGCAGTCGGAATGAACTCGGGTTGATCCTGTTTTCTCGCATGGTAGAACATGGAGTGTTGCCTAATTGCTTTACCTTGGCTACTGTTTTCAAGTGCTGTGCAAAGAAGCACAGCAGCCTTGAAGCAGGTAAGAGCATCCATGGATGGATACTTAGGAATGGAATTGAAAAGGATATTGTGCTGCAGAACTCAATTCTTGACTTCTATGCAAAAAGTGAATGCTTCAGATATGCAAGAACAATTTTTGAGAATATGACTGAGAGGGATACTGTTTCATGGAATGTTATGATTGGTGTTCATTTAAAGTTGGGTGATATGAATGCTGCAATGGAGTTATTCAGACAATCATCATCTCTGGACGTTTCGAGCTGGAACACTTTCATTAGTGGGCAAATGCGGAATGGATCTGATAAAACCGCTACCCTACAACTTCTCAATCTGATGGCAAAGATCGGTCCTTTGTTCAATCATTATACTTTCTCTATAACCTTAGTGTTAGCTGCTAAGTTTGCTCTACTGGATGTGGGAAAGCAACTGCACTGCAAGTTATTGAGACTCGGATACGAGAACGATGCTTTTATTAAGAACTCCATGGTAAATATGTACTCCAAGTGTGGAAAGATGGAAACTTGCTTGGCCATATTCTGTGACAGAGTTCAAGGTGCCAAGGCTTCACAGCTTGCACCAGCAGCCATTGAAGCTCTGGCAAACACAATTTCGTGGAGTACTCTGGTTGCTGGATTTGTGCAGAATGGAACTACTGAAGAAGCTCTGGTGCTGTTCTGTAGGATGTTACGTGAAGGTGTAGCAGTAGATCCATATACTCTGACAAGTATTGCTTCAGCCTGTGCTGATGCTGGGATTCTTGAGCAAGGAAAGCAGATCCATGCTTGCATTGAGAAATCCGGGCATGGATTTGACGTCTTTTTGGCATCAGCAGTGATCGACATGTACGCAAAATGTGGAAGTTTGGACAATGCTCAGAGAATTTTTTACGGCTTAGATTGTATAAATGTCGTCTTTTGGACAGCGATGATAGGTTCCTGCGCCTTCCATGGTGAAGGGAGAAAGGCTATTAGGGTTTTCAACATGATGTTGGAGAAGAAGATTGTGCCAAATGAGGTTAGTTTTACAGGCTTGTTGTCTGCTTGTAGCCACGAGGCTTTGATTGTTGAAGGTTATAAATATTTCAATTTGATGCAAAAGGATT